AGAAAACCGACAGCATTTCTATCAGCCTTGGTTTGGTGCATTTCCCCTAAGGTCTGAGCTAGATTAGCTGGTCGGATGGGTGTTGCAAGCAGTCATCAAGGAGCCTTGGTTCTTTAAAGAACAAGTTCACCGTTTTTTATTTTTCCATTTTTTTTTATTACGATTGGTCACAGAGTTTAACATACAGGCTGAATATGAAAATAGCTGTCTACCCCTGTTTCCTGCATTAGATGCCAATAGAAAATAGATGGAGAAATGCTCGGATCAGAAAAGGTCACTCAGATCTACAGTGCTCAGCATAAATGAAAACACCCCACTACATTTGTCAGAAAACCTTTAGTTTCCTTTCAGAATCAACATTTTCTATGAGATACTATTCTACAAAACACTTGCACAAATGTGGGCCACTGATTGCAAACAAAATTTGTTCATTTCCACATACAAATGGGAATTTTCCTAAGAAATCCATTCAAGCCCATGTTGCAAAAATGAGTACACCCCAATTATAGTCTCCGGAGAAAAGCCACACAAAATTCTAATGAACAGGCATTCAACCAAAGGTGAGTCTAACTATTCATTTAAGAGGTGTCCAGCAGACTATAAAACGGCATTACTTAACAAAGAGAAGCCCGTCCCATTTCATGCAGTCATCAGTGGCTCCACATGGAAGAGAAATGTCACAAAATCTTAGAAAGGAAATCATTTCTTTACGCAAAAAAGGTGAGGACTACAAGAAGATCAGCAAAGCTTTACATATCAGTCACAATACTGTGATCCAAAAATCTAAGAAAGATGGAAGTGCAACCATCTTGAGACGCCCAGGCTGTCCACAGAAGTTAACATCTCATTAGGAGTGTCTTTTGATGAGAAGGGTTGAAGAAAATCCCCATGCAAGTTCACTGCAGTTAGCTAAAGCAGTAGAAAGCCAAACTGGGGTGACCGTTTCCTGTGACACCATACGGCGCACACTGCAGAGGAATGGCATGGGTATCGTCCACGAAGGAAGCCTCTCCTAAAGCCCATACACAAAAAAGTATGTCTAGGATTTGCTAGGGCCCATGCTGAAGGAGATGAAGACTACTGGGACTCTAGACTCTGGAGTGATGAGACAAAGATGATTGTTTTTGGAACTGATGGTTTCAAAACTGTTCGGCGTCGTAAAGGTGAGGATATCAAAGAGAAATGCATGGTGCCTGGAGTGAAAGGAGAAGATGCCGCCATCACTCTGCGTACTTGGTCATCGTGCACTTTTCCAACACGACAATGATCCAGAACACATCTAAAGCTACTGTTGCCTTTCTGAAGAAGAACAGGATGATGGTGATTGAATGTCCAAGTATGTCTCCTGATCTGGACCCAGTCCAACACCTGTGGGGATTTCTGAAGCAGCAAGTTGAGCATCACTCTCCATCCAGCATCCAGGCTCTAAAAGAGGTTCTTCTTGAACAATGGAAGAGATAGATGTTGCAACATGTGGACAACTTGTTCATTCCATGCCTAGAAGACTTGGTGCTGTCCTTTTAAAATCTTGATGGTCATACAAAATACTGGCTGTTGTATTTTTGTTGTGGGGTGTATTCATATTTGCTTTAACACATTTTAGTAAAACTGAAGATTTTATGATCTAAGTTACATTATTACCATAATTTCATGTTATGGAGTTAAACACGTGTTGAATAAAACCCAGCCTTGTGAAAAGTCTGGAAATTGTTCTTTTGTTCATTGAGCTGCTGATTAAATGCATGTTTTTTTAAGGCGGTGAACTCATTTATGCTGGGCACTATATGTCACTCTTTACATTTGCATTCATGGACTCATGGACTTTAGCATCCAGTAGAGAGCAGAGCACGTCTTGGCTAGTAGAAGCTAACCGTTAGCATTAGCAACTCCACAGCAGGCCTGTCCTATTGTGGAGATAAAGCATCAACGTTGCAGAGCAAGTGGAGTCGGCTTGTTAGCCAATCAGAGGTGAGATAATAATAATAATAATAATAATAATAATGCGTTGAACTTATAAAGCGCTTTTCTAGACACCCAAAGACGCTTTTTTCACACACTCTCACATTCACACACTGCTAGTGATGGTAAGCTACTTGTAGCCACAGCCGCCCTGGGGAGGTCTGACAGAGGCGAGGCTGCCATTTGGCGCCATCGGCCCCTCTGACCACCACTAACACAGGCAAGTTGGGTGAAGTGTCTTGCCCAAGGACACAACAGCAGGATACCCTTGGCGGGAGCTGGAATCGAACTCATGACCCTCCGATCATGAGGCAACCCGCTCTACCACCTGAGCTACTGCTGCCTCGTCAGATGTCAGAATATAATGGTAAATAAGCCTTCAAATCCTGCTGTTTTCTGCTCCCTTCTCCTCTGACTAACCTCCACTCCCTGACACAGGGATGCAAGTTGTTTTTCTACAGAGATCGACTCACAAGGCATCAATTTATATTAGAGATTAATGAAAATGTGTTGAAAAACTAGGAACTGGGTCTTTAATGCACATTTCTTATGGATGCTCATTGGAGGTGCACAGCCTGGATGAGTTTTGCTCTGCTACCTGTGGACCTGTGTTGTGAAGTTGATAGAAACATTGATACACAATCGGTCATAATGAATTTTCTTGAAGAACAACTATTCACAGATGTAGCGGAAATCCACATTTTATATCCTCAGGTTAACTTTGTGTGGATTTACACGGAAAAGAACAATAACATTTGCACACAAATGTTTCTTTCACACTTTGCAGAAAAAAGGGGTAATTGGAAACTGACCTACAATCATATAAATTCCAACGGACCATTTTCGAACACCTGGCTAACTCCTACAACTTTTCCCAGGAACGTAAATTTTACCGTGACTTGTTTGTTTCCCTCCTTAAGCAATCGAAAAGACGGACATTATCAGGACTTGGTTTGTTCATGTTAACCTGACAAGACCTGGCTCTCCCCAAGGTTTGAATGCTCGTAAAACCTTCTCAAGGGTCATTCTGGAAGATTCAAGGATCTCGCTTTTATCAAAACCCTGGTATTTTTCTGTTTATCTATAATCAAAGAAGGTATTTAGGTTGTTTACCCTTAAAATAGAAATCAAGGTGCTCCATGTTCAAATCTTATCAGCCACAGACCTTAACTGTTTGTTTTGTGTTTTCTTTCATGTTAAACTTCTGCCATTGTGTTTCACCAGTTCAAAACCATGCTAAAAGTGATACAGTCAAGCTTAAGACCTGAAGTCAATTCTTTCCCGTTTAAAGTAATACTTTGATGCTAAAGTAATACTTTTTGAGGCTTTATAAGAATAACTGGTGGTTCTAAGACTGGGTTATGTGAAAGAGCCACAGCGCCATCAATTGGTTAAGGAGTGAAATAAATTTGAGTGTAACCCAGAAGGTTATAAAAGCCACTGTGCAAACCTCGTGTGGGCAGAAGAGAAAAGAACAAAGGACGCCTTGAACACATCCCTGTGGGCTGTTTTCCATCTGGCCCAGCAGAACCCGGCGCTTTACAGTAATTGGCTCTCAAAAGTTACGGTAAGAACTTAGAAGCAACTCTGTTGTTTTGTTTTGACTTCCTACGTGAAACCGGAAGTCTGTGTGTTCGTCGAGTTTTCATATTAAGAGTAAGAGCAGTTTGGAACAGTTTGATGATCCGGCTCCGTTTGGAATAATTTGGACCCGCAAGCTGAATTCCACGTTTCGAGGCCGCTGAAGTGAAGGAACCTAAAGTCCAGCCACTCCCGAGGAACGAGATTCTTCTGAACCACAGACACCGTTGACCTAAGCTGAGGTGCCAAAAAGTCCTACGGCCCCTGAAGGCCGCATTCAAGCTTCTGGACTGGCTGAACCAGCCCACAGGACACCTCTTTGGCGACGAAAAACGTCTGTGAAGCATCTCATCTGGCTGACTTTTGTGCTAAGCCCGATTAGTGAATTCAGATTAGTCCATTTCTTTATGGCGTGTTTTTTATTTCAATCCCAGATTCACGTTAGCCTTCAAGATTCCCTTCCTTCTTCTGCCATAACGAGCCACACACACACACGCGCACACGCACACGCACGCACACACACACATACACACACACCCCATTCCCCATTTTTCTATAATCCTTGTGTCACCGAATTTCCACTTTATTACGGATCAGTTATTTCCTATCACTGCCATAAAGCTTTGAGTTAACAGTTTTCTCAATTCCATGCATGAAACTATAAGCAGCGTTTGGTCCTTTTGTCAATGTAACTGATGTTGTAATAAACTCACAAAACAAAAATCACGCCTGATTATTTCTAGCGATCTCGAGAATAGCCGACGCATTCTGACAAGAACTCAGCGTTCAGACTAATTTGTGGTGTTGAAATTTGACTGATGACCTTGAACAAAATCTAAATCTCCCCTCGAGTGTTCCCAGTCACACTAACAAAGGCTGGGTGGTGACCCAGTTAATTAATATAAGATCATAAGCTAAATCTACGTCACATTTGAAATATAGATATAAATCTATATTTATCGCTACACAGATTAGGTGAATAATTAACAATATTTAAACAATATGGAGCAAAATATAATAGAAATAACTTTTAAAAATGGAAATGCAATGGCCTGTGAAAAGAATGTGAGGGCAGCCTCATTAATATCTACAGCTTTCATTAAAATGTGAATTTTATTCATTCTAAGAGTTTCAAGTAAACCGTTTTTTTCTTATATTTAATGTTAATTAAAATTTTGATTACCTACCAATATTTTTGAATGACGGAAACAAAAAAGTCTATTTTAAAATAACACATCTGAACAAGAATTTACTGACTGAACTCATTTCACTGACTATTTTGCCCTAAAGTTCATCAAAGGTTCAGCTCAGAGTTTCAAAACAACACCTTATATAAATTCCACTTTTAACATATAAGAACAAGCCTTTACACAGAAAAAATGCATGCTTAAGATAAAAGGATGAGGAGCAGCAATGCAGCTTCATCATTTCTGCCTCAACGTCCCCATGGCTACACTCACCACGTGTGCTGGTACTTGGTCCATCTTAGCAGCAGGGGTGCCGGGTCTGGGGTAGAACTGGTTGATGAAGAGACTGGGGAACTGATAGTGTTTCACCAGCTCTACTGTCTCCTGGAAATCCTCCTCAGTTTCACCAGGAAAACCGCAGATTATGTCTGTAGCAATTGTTACACCAGGTACTCTGGAGAGAGAGAAACAAGTCTGAGTTATGTCTCTGTGGCAACATGCATTTATTGTTTTCACTTTTATGATTTGCTACTAAGTCAAAGTGTCACCAGGAAGTCCAATCCCTCGAAGTATTAATGAAAAAGTTACAAAAATAAAATTCTACGAAGTCTGTCAGCCATCGACTAAAACCTAATGAATTACAGAAAGTCCCTCTGAACTGTGTTATCACAGACATTTTCCAATGGTTTATATGAACGTGTTTTAAAAAAAACTGCATTACAGGGCATTTCAACTCCCACTGGACTCATTCAGCCAATCAAAACCAGATTAGCAACCTCCAGTGCAAATCACTAGTTATCGATTAAAGACACTGGCTAGATCATTAGATTAATCGTAGCCAGCAGGACAGTATTGGGGGGAACAAATAGATTTCTCCCGTCTACATTGTTTACATTGGCAGCAGTTGGATGATTTGCAAAATGGGACCAAAGCAAAGTCGCCACTCTGTTAGAAAAGTACCCGGCCTCATGAAGAAACACTGGACCTTCAAAGTGAAATATATAAATATATATATTCTTCATAACAAACATATATTCATTAATCACCAGCTCTAAGAAGATCCTAGCATTCACTGCTAATGTGTTGATGTAACAATTTAGCACAAAAATAAATGTAAGGAGCAGTGGGAGGCTGAAATAATCTGGCTTGATGTTTTTCAGGCTGCATTCATTTGCTACCATTCTTAGCCTAGAGTTGGTCTAAAGACAGTGTGTTGCATTGGAACAATTGGAAATCATTCTCAATTGATGCAGGCCAACTCACTAATTGTGTAATTTGCATCAGAGTTCTAGATCCAGTGGAGGAGAAAGAAAAAAGAACATGAGAATATGTTTGTAACCGCTTACATCAAAACCATTCAGCTACAAAGCCAGGATGTTATCAGAAATCTCACCACTATTTAGATTTCTGTTTTAAAACCTACTTGTGTCTGGGTTTATTCTCTTTTCTAATCCCCCATCGTTTTTTTAAATGAAAAAATAACCCAAACACAACACTTAACAAAAATATGACACAAATAATCTTTAATCTCCTGCTAAATTCCATAAAACCAACAAACAAAACTAAAACATGCCCAATTCAAACAAGATGAATCAACACAGATGTAAACAAGTTATGGAAATAAACTTTACTATTGACAATGTGATCCAGTTTTAATTGCATTAACTTCCTGCTTCTGCAACACCATGATAACCTTTAACCTATTGATGACTTCCAATTGGCTCCTGGTCATTAATATTAACCAGTGGCCTGCAGGCACAGGCATCCTTGACCTTTAAGATGTTTCTGACAATTACTAAAAATATGTAAAACAACACAAATATAGAAACTGTGTTAACTTAACTCTCAAATTGATACAGTTTTTGCTTTGTTAATAAATATATTTATCCCAACCACCTTAGAATCACCTTTACAAGACAATCAATATGTTGGTTCTTTATCTTATTAGATAAACAAATGATTATTTGCTGCCTGTCAGCTCCTGTGATCGTTAAAGTTAGAAGGTCAAAAATATGTTTTACTGTTTATAATCTGTAGTTTACAAAGTCCAGAACACGGAAGCTGTTGGTAGACTCCTTTGACAACATACGTTTAGAAAATCTTCCATTTTTGGTTCCTTTTTTAAACTCAGATAAAGTTTTTCTTTACCTTGCTGACGTACGTTTCGTTTGCGGCTGCAAACATCCTCAGAGCTGACGCTGATGGTGGCATCACTTCCTAGTGCGTTTATCCGCGGGCAGCAGAGGACATTGTCGCCTTCTGCTGCCCACTCTCCCCTCTCCGACGATGCAGTCCCATGCACGATCCAACGAGTAAACTCCATCGTCTCTGTTCATGGTCCCACATCCACGTCTCCTTATCTCAATAGCTTCTTTTATCCATCTTTTGTATTTCTGTTGTTCGGTGTTTATGATACTTGTGTTGTCCCAGCCCATTATGTGGTTTTCTCTTGTGCAGTGATCTGTTACGGCTGACTTCTTTATTGTGCTTTCTGCTTCTTGTTTTGCTGCTCTTGTGTGTTTTCAACTTGCCTCTTTCTCGCACTCCTTTCTGTGTTCTATTGTTCGTGTGTTGAGTTGGCGTCCGGTTTCTCCTATGTATGTTTTATTGCAGAGTTTGCATGGGATTTCGTAAACGACTCCACATTTAAGTCCAGCTGGTATTTTGTCTTTTGGGTGTAAAAGTGTGTTTCTAACTGTTGTGTATGGTTTTGTTGGTGTGTTTATGTTGTGTTTTTTTCATTGTTGCTCTTATTTTTTCTGTTATGCCTCTGATGTATGGTCGGGTTATCAGTGGTTTTGGTTCTTGTCTTTCTGGGTTTCTGCTGATGGTGGCAGCAAAGGGCGACAATGTCCTCTGCTGCTCGCGGATAAACGGAGTAGGAAGTGACACCACCATCAGCGTCAGCTCTGGGGATGTTTGCAGCCGCAAACGAAACGTCAGCAAGGTAAAGAAAAACCTTATCTGTGTTTAAAAAAGAACCAAAAATGGAATTTGAAGACAGACACAGCAAGAACGTACAGAAGATCTTGAATTGCCTATTCATTGGTTCTTCTTTGTCTTACGTTTGACCAAATGCTCCTGAGGATGTTTTTCTCACTTGGTAAGTGTTCTCTGTCCTTTGGAGGACTGTCCTGTCTTCTTTGATCCTGTCTGTCCAATGCTGTCTTGCTCTACGTCTGGACAACGGCCACGATGTTTTGTTGGTGACTGAGGTTTCTTCCTGTTAAAAGGGAGTTTTCCTCCCCACTGTCGCTACATGCTTGCTTAGTATGAGGATTGCTGTAAAGTAACTGAAACACATCAGTGACTCGATGCAGTCAGCTGGGTTTCCTTACATAGCAAACTTTTAGTTAACGATAATAATTAGCTAAACTCACTGCACTGATAAGTAGGTTCAATATGAGTATTTACCTTGTAAAGTGCCTTGAGATGACTCTTCAATCAAGTTTGTTTATACAGTGCTTTCCACAACCATAGAAGATGGCAAAAGTGTTTTTCATAACAAAATAAGACTCTTGTTTTGAATTGGTGATGTATAAATGAAATGAACTGAACTGAGTCCGCAGCACTTCGGACCACGTGCCTGTATCACATCAGTCATACTTCCTTCAATCTCTGTGACTGCTGCGATGCTCAACCTTCCTGAATGACTTCCTGCTCAACATGGTTTCATATTTTCAACCTCAAAGATGCAGTTCACTTGTGCTCTCTAATAAGAATGAATGCCTTGTAGGTTGTGCGCTAGTCTTAGGAACTAAAGTGAGCCACATGAGAGCTGTGGGATTTTGTCCCTTATTTCCTGATATTTGGACATCTCTCCTTTGATTGGACAAAAGAAACCCGACTCTACCATTGAATCAGTTTGCTTTGCAACATTGATGATCCCCACAAATAGCACAAGCCTGGAGGAGTTCTGCTGTGTGGTGGAGTTGCTAATGCTAGCAGTTAGCTTCTACAAGCAGAGACGTTTTCTGCCATTTCCTGGATGCTAAACCAACAACGGCCTTCCCCATCGCGAGTCAAGATGGGCGAGTCCATGAATGTTAAGTGACAGTGTGTCATAGATCTGTCTGGATTTTCCAATCCAAGATTTTCACCATCTATTCTATCGGAAGCTAATGCAGGAGAAGGGTGTAGGAGACTATTTTCATGTTCAGCTTGCATGAAAAATTCAGTGACCCATTATAATCAGAAGTAATCATAAAAAATGTTTGTGTCCCACACCTTTTAACACTTGCAATATTCCTACTTTCTTTACACAAAGAGATTGCTTGTGTACTGCCTTTGCCAGCTACACAGTAATTATTGGCTGTATCAGTGATAGTTGTGAAAGAAGGCAAATGGACTAATTGTCCAAATGATAAGCACATTTAATACGTGATGTTTCGTTATGTATAGCCAAGGGGATTGCTCTATTGGATCATAAAATAGCAACACTCATATTGAAGAGGAACCATAAGAGGATGCATGTTTCTGATAAGGGCTTCAAAATAATACAAGAAACACAAAAACAGGGAAAAGGAGCAGGAGAGAATAGTGTAAATTGACTTTTATAGATTTTTCTAAGGTGCAGGCTGAGAAGCTTAAAAAAAGAGGGGGGGTGCACAGGCACACGCACACACACACACACACACACACACACACACACACACACACACACACACAGTCATTTCGACACCTCTGCCTCTCCCAGATCTAAGGGTGACAGAGGTGTGATGTGCGATACTAATGAATAAGAACCACAGTGATACTTTCCTTGTTAAAAAAGAAAGAGGAGAAATGTCTCTTGTTATTGTTCACGTCTGAAAAGCAGAGTGAGAATCAGAGATAGGGGCAGAAAAATAAGAGGAGTAGAGATTGCATTTCAGCTCAACTTGCTTTCAATTAAACTGATGCAGACGTGGGCTAATCTCACAAAGCTATAGCCAACCATAAACCCTGACAGAGCAACAGAGGAGTGTGCTGTAATGAAACCAGATAAAGAAAAAAGATAAGATTCCAACAAAGGGCACATTATCAAGCATGGTCAGGTGCAGGTAAAGGCTTGATTGTCTACTGTTTAGTATTGATTAGAATGAGATATGAGAGATAGCATCTTCTGCTATAGAACACATGAAGATCGGGGGGGTGGACACGTCTGGCCAATTCCAGTTTGTTTCGGGAGGAGAGGTACATTAGCATAGTAAGACTTTGGCTCCTTTTAGATAAAATCACATAAAAAAGAAAGGAAATGACAATTGTAGCCTTTTATTTCACAGTTTCACATGATGTAGTCTAACAGGACAAAGGACTTTCAACACGTTGCACCCACTGCATAGTGTCTCCTGTGTGCACTTATGAAGCAACCTGCTCAAAAATGTCTGTGCATCACTTAAAAGGAGATTTTGGACCTTCAGAAGTTGGGTTTCAGGTGAAAGGTTTGAAACGAACACCCTACCTGTTTTAGATGCT